CGTTTTGTTGATGGTTTCCTTTGCTGTGCAGAAGCTTTTTAGTTTGATGTAGTCCCATTTGTTTATTTTTTCTATTGTTTCTCTTGCCCGGTCAGATGCTCACACATACACTTTTTAAAGAATGCTTAAGGTTAAGGCATACTGACTAGGTTTACTGGGCAATGCTACTCCTAAAAAATTAAATATATCTGTATATCTATCTCTCAACAACTACCTTCAAAGTCAACCTTACATAATTTTTTGTTTAATTGTCCAAGGTGTGCTTATTAATTGATGAAAATACAGAGGATAATGCTAAACATTCCATCTAGTAAGTGTGTGGAATTTCAAATGTTTTGAAGTATTGGTTTTAGATTTTGTCATCAGAGAATAGTCACAGCACTTTTTTTCCAGCTTTACTGACAAGTAATTGACATATTAGTTACAGCATTTTTTCCCCTTGTTCCCCAGTTTTATTAAGATATAACTGACATACAACATTGTATTACTTTTAGATGTACAACATGATGATTTGAAATATGAACTCTTTCTTTAGTGGTTTAAAATTTTAGCTGTTGGCCCAAAAAATTTGAACTAATCAAAGTAATTCAGTTTATCTAAAGTTATTCTCCAGATTTTCTACCAGAATTCTGTTGTCTGCAAAAATTTAAGAACAAAGCTTTCAGCTTAGATATTTTTTAAAGTGAACAATACTGAAAATGAAAAGCATGGTAGGCCATTAATTTTTTTTATTGATGTTTTAATCGTTGTGAAATTTTGGGTTGTACATTTTTGTTTGTCCATCAACATGTATATGTCTCCCTTCACCCCTGGTGCCCACCCTCTACCCCCATTGCCCCTGGTAACCACAATACAGTTTTCTCTGTCCATGTGTTGGTTTATATTCCATATACGAGTGAGATCACAGTGTTTGTCTTTCTCTTTCTGGCTTATTTCACTTAACATAATACCCTCCAGGCCCAACTATGTTGTTGCAAATGGGACGATTTTGTCTTTTTTTACAGCTGAGTAGTATTCCATTGTATATATATATACCACATCTTCTTCATCCAATCATCAGTCAATGGACACTTAGGTTGCTTCCACTTCTTGGCTATAGTGAATAATGCTGCAATGAACATAGCGGTGCATAAGCCCCTTTATTGTTGATTTCAGATTCGTTGGATAGACTCCCAGTAGTAGGATAGCTGGATCATTGGGTATTTCTATTTTTAATTCCTTGAGGAATCTCCATACTGTTTTCCATAGAGGCTGCACCAGTTTGCATTCCCACCAGCTGTGTGTGAGGGTTCCTGTTTCTCCACATCCTCTCCAACATTTGTTGTTTTGCGTCTTGGTGATTATAGCCATTCTAACAGGTGTGAGGTGATATCTTAGGGCTGTTTCGATTTGTATTTCCCTGATGATTAGTGATGTTGAACGTCTTTTCATGTGCCTATTGGCCATCTGTATATTTTCTTTGGAGAAGTATCTGTTCATTTCCTCTACCCATTTTTTGATCGGGTTGTTCGTTGTTTTGTTGTTCAGTTGTGTGAGTTCCTTATATATTATGGAGATTAACCCCTTGTCAGATATATGTTTTGCCAATATTCTCTCCCAGCTGGTGGGTTGTCTGTTCATCTTGATTCTGGTTTCGTTTGTCTTGTAGAAGCTCTTTAATCTGATAAAGTCCCACTTGCTTATTTTTTCTTTAGTTTCCCTAGTCTGGGTAGGCATGTCATCCGAAAAGATTTCTTTATGACCAATGTCAAATACTGTGCTGCCTATATTTTCTTCTATGAGTTTTATAGTTTCAGGTCTCACCTTCAGGTCTTTGATCCATTTTGAGTTAATTTTTGTGAATGGCGATAGCAGATGGTCCACTTTCATTCTTTTGCACGTGGCTGTCTAGTTTTCCCAACATTTATTGAAGAGACTTTCCTTTCTCCATTGTATGTTCTTAGCTCCTTTGTTGAATACTAGCCATCCATATATGTGTGGTTTTATTTCTGGGCTTTCAATTCTGTTCCATTGATCTGTGTGTCTATTTTTGTACCAGTACCATGCTGTTTTGATTACTATTGCTTTGTAGTATGTTTTGAAGTTAGGGATTGTGATGCCTCCAGCTTTGTTCTTTTTTCTTAGGATTGCTTTAGCTATTCGGGGTCTTTTGTTGCCTCATATGAATTTTAATATTCTTTTTTCTATTTCCGTGAAGAATATCATTGGGATTCTGATTGGGATTGCATTGAATCTGTAGATTGCTTTAGGTAATATAGACATTTTAACTATGTTTATTCTTCCAATCCACGTGCATGGGATGTCTTTCCATTTCTTTACGTCATCATTGATTTCTTTCAATAATGTCTTGTAGTTTTCATTGTATAGGTCTTTCACCTCCTTGGTAAGATTTATTCCTAGATATTTTATTCTTTTTGATGCAATTGTAAATGGTATTATCTTTTTGAGCTCTCTTTCTGTTAGTTCATTATCAGCATACAGAAATGCAACAGATTTTTGTAGGTTGATTTTGTACCCTGTGACTTTGCTGTTATTGATTACTTCTAATAGTTTTCCAATGGATTCTTTAGGGTTTTCTATCTATAAAATCATGTCATCTGCAAATAGTGAGAGTTTCACTTCTTCGTTGCCTATTTGGATTCCTTTTATTCCTTTTTCTTGCCTAATTGCTCTGGCCAAAACCTCCAGTACTGTGTTGAATAAGAGTGGTGAGAGTGAGCAGCCCTGCCTCGTTCCTGTTCTCAGAGGAATGGCTTTCAGTCTTTCCCCGTTGAGTATGATGTTGGCTGTGGGTTTGTCATAAATAGCCTTTATTATGTTGAGGTACTTTCCTTCTATACCCATTTTGTTGAGAGTTTTTATCATAAATGGATGGTGTATCTCGTCAAATGCTTTCTCTGCGTCTATTGAGATGACCATGTGGTTTTTATTCTTTGTTTTGTTGATGTGGTGTATCATGTTGATTGATTTGCAGATGTTGAACCATCCCTGCGTCCCTGGTATAAATCCTACTTGATCATGGTGTATGATCTTTTTAATGTATTGCTGTATTTGGTTTGCCAATATTTTGTCGAGGATTTTTGCATCTATGTTCATCAGCGATATTGGCCTGTAATTTTCCTTCTCTGTATTGTCTTTGTCTGGCTTTGGTATCAGGGTGATGTTGGCCTCATAGAATGAGTTAGGAAGTGTTCCATCTTCCTCTATTTTTTGGAATAGTTTGAGAAGGATGGGTATTAAATCTTCTTTGAATGTTTGGTAAAATTCACCAGAGAAGCCATCTGGTCCTGGTATTTTTGGGGAGGTTTTTGATTACTATTTCAATCTCTTTACTTGTGATTGGTCTACTCAGATTCTCCATTTCTTCTTGGTTCAGTTTTGGGAGGTTGTAGGAGTCTAAGAATTTATCCATTTCTTCTAGATTGTCCAATTTGTTGGCATATAATTTCTCATAGTATTCTCTTATAATCCTTTGTATTTCCGTGGTATCGTTGTAATTTCTCCTCTTTCATTTCTACTTTTATTTACTTGAGCCTTTTCTCTTTTTTTCTTAGTCTGGTAGGCCATTAATTTTTAACTACAGTGTCATATTTTCAAAATGTCAGCATTTAAGAGGAAATGTGAATAAATTCAACTGTTGTACACCAACAGTCAGAAATAGACAATGGGACAGGAAAAGACCACCACTTTCTTGTGGTATTTCTGAGACTAAATGCCACCAAGTTTTTTTCTTTTGTGAGGGAGATTAGCCCTGAGCTAACACCTATGGCCAATCCTCCTCTTTCTGCTGAGGAATATTGGCCCTGGGCTAACGTCCATGCTCATCTTTCTCTACTTTATATGTGGGACGCCTGCCACAGCATGGCTTGATAAGCGATGCGTAGGTCCGCACCCAGGATCCGAACCTGCAAACCCCATGCAAACTTAACCACTATGCCACCAAGCCGGCCCTGCCACCAAGTTTTAATAATATAAGCTAATATTAGAACACTGGTAAAGATGAAAATTCCTCTGTACTGAAATAAATATTTCTATAAGAACAATACTTTTTGCAAAGTTTAGCAATAAAATTAGTTTGGATCTCTTAGGCGCAAGCAAGTAAAGAATCCCATAAGGACAATAAGGCACGGTGATGGCATGTTACATGATGAACAGCCAGCTTAGTTAGTGGCTCTTAAATTATCCAAAACAAGGATGATACACACTTGAATAGTGAAAAATTGACCAATCAATTTGATTGGATTAAAATTTTTGTATTTACAAAAAGGCAATTATGCAAGGAAAACCCCCCGCAGACACTGTGGCTCACTTCATTATTGATGGTAGCTCCAAGTCCCAGGTGGTTATTTTTAACTTGAACTTTAATATGTTCTGTGGCTCCTTGCTCTTGAGCCCCTAAACCCTGTAGAGATTAAACACAAAGACAGTTAACATTTTTATCGGGTATAAAGAGAGATTACCTCTTTCTTCTTTCATCAACTATTTGATTAATTACTAAACATCTAGGATTGAGGCACTATCCTTGCCTTCAAAGAGGACACAGTCTAATGCATTCTTACAAGATGTCTATAATACCAAGGATGCACTTACAATAATGAAAGCCAATTCTTCAACCTGAGACCCAATTCAAGGCCCATGTAAACATTAGGGAGAACAGGCCTTTTTCTGATGCACAAAAGCAGAGTACTACTACAAAGTAAGAGAAGCCCATCAGAGATATTAAAAGTCTGGCTCTCTCCTTCTATAAAACAACACTGAGGGACAGGGTAGAGAGATCCAAGCCCCCTGCATCAATTAACACTCATTTGTAAGGTGTCCCAGAGAGCTTGGTGTACTGAAGAACCTGAACGGCACTGAGGGTGGCTCCAGCAAAGTGAATGAAGAGAAAATAAGACAATATGAAGGGGCCAGACCTCATGGGACCTTGGAAATTATGGTAGGATTTTGGATTTTATTTTTTAAAAACAACAGGAAACCACTGAACTTTTAAGCAAGGGAATGACACAATCTAATTTCTGTATTTTAAAAGATCAGTCTGGCTGCTGTATGGCAAATGGCCCACAGAAGGAAAAGAAGGGAGGCAGTGAAGCAAGTGAGAGGCTGTTGTGGTGATCAGGGCAAGCCATGGCAGTGGTTGGACCATGATGGTGCCCTGGATAGAGAGGAATAATGACCAGGCATGTGGGAAGTGAGACAGGTGGAGGAACCAAGCCTCACTCCCAGGCTTCTGGCTTGAGTAAGCTGGTAGACAGGGTACCATTTGTAAAAATGGGGAAAACTTGAGAGGAAAAAGATTTTGGGGGATCATGAATTTTATAATAAAAATGATAAACTTAAGATGCTTAGTCAAGTGGAAATGTCAATAAGGTCAATAAGGCTGATGAATTTATAAATTTGGAGCTCAGAGGACAGATATGGACTAGATATAGAAAAGTGACAGTTCTCAGAATTTAGATAATTTAAAGCATGGGACGGAATGAATGAGCTCACCTGAGCAGAGTATGGAAGAGGACCTGGGGCTGACCCCAAGGAGCTCTGAAGCTCAAAAGTCTGGAGGTGGAAGAGCTAGCAACAAATTTAGGAGTGGCTGGTGAGGCAGAAGATAAAAACAGGAGAGAGGGCAGTATTTCAAGGAAGCCAAGACAGAAGTATTTCAAGGAAGGAGTAGTCAATTATGTCCAATACTGCACATTACATTAAGTTAGGTGAAAACAAAAAAGAGTCCATTGGATTTGGCAACAAGATCATTAAAGACCTTGACAAGAACCACTTAAGTGTAGAGATATTAGTAGAAGTCCCATTTGAATTAGGAACAAATGAACTGTGAGGAAAAAGAGAAAATGTGTAGTCTAGCTATAAGAGAATAAAATATTACTCTTCGCAATATAAAACTCTGATGGTTAAGAATGATTCCAAGTGCAACTAATTAAAAGGGACTGTTTATGAAAAACGTTAATCACAGTAGGTTAAATGATAAAGCGAGTTGACATTTATGTTGAATTCTAACTTTATCATCACAAGGTCACTACAATTTAGTTATTTCTCCAAAATCACCTATTGATCCAAGACATAAATTTCTCCCAGTTTCCTAAGAAAGATGTATTCTCCTGATTTGTAATCTCTTTGTATGGCTCCAATTTCTTTTGCTCTTCTCCAAAATACCTTTCCTTTAGACCATCCCATCTTCTCTAGCATCCTCTGGCCAAACTTGGAATCATCATTACTCCATGCAGTGTTTCTTGGGTCCACAGCCCACTTCTGCTTCCGCCGACCTGTAAATGACAAAGTATCTCATCAGCAATTTGTCTTTCAAATCTGGAAAACACCATGCAAATACATACATACCTAATACATACACACATACCTGCATAAAATATGACATACATTATGTTTTAATAGAGACAGATATCAGATTCAGCATCCAATGGAATGTTATCAAACTGGATCATTTATCCTGGTTTCCCCAATAATTGTATATTCTCAACATATAAATTGACCTTATAAGATAAAAATAAAAATATTCCCTCCAAAGGTGACAAATTGAAAGACATGATCTACTGTCAGTCAGGTCTTCCACATCCAGCTAAAGGCAGCAACTTAAAGCCCCTGTCAACACCAGCGTCATCCTCACCATCAGTAGTAGCAGCAGCAGTTATAGCTTTTGCTGCCATACCTTATGTGTCAAATGCTATCCATACATTATTAGACTCACTTTTCATAGTAACCCAAAGAGAGTAGATATTCTTATCTCCACTTTTCAGATGAGAAAATCTGAGCCTTAAGAGAAAGAAATGTGCCTAATGCCTCCAAGCAAAAGCCAGAGCCTCTATACAAACCAAGGTCCCACTGACATCAAAGCATATAGTCTTAATCCACAATATACAACAGTCATTATGATCTTGGGGATAATCAACTGTACCTTCCACACATGTGATCTACAGATACTAGCAATCACTCCTTTTCACTGAAATGCCCTAAGGCCATATGACCCCTTCTCTGGACTTCCAGAATAAATTATCTGCTTCTTTTCTGGCATGTAATACTTTTGTGTATTATGGCTATTTATGTCCATATATTATGTTTCCTATTAGATCATAATCTCCTATGGCTCACAATTGTGTCTTATTCTTTCTTATACTTCACTGCAAGAAGTAAAAAACACTGTGCCCATAGCAGGCACTCAGTAAATATGTGAATGAATGTATGAATGAATGAGAAAGGAAGGAGGGAAGGAAGAAAGAAAGGAAAGAAGAAAAGGGGATAGGATACAAGGAAGGAAGGAACATAACTGAATTAAAGCAACTGCTTTGAATCTCTTCAAACTAAGTATTTTTTTAAATGCATATAAATAACTGACTATTATGAACTCAAATTTACTGTAGTTTTAAGGAAAATTATGGCAGATATAGAATCTCAAAAGTTCACAGAACAAGAAAATAAAACTCAAAGTAAATTGTGGCGGAATGAGAAATTTGGAGGTCCTGTTATTATCATTCACATTCTGCACCAATGGAAGCACAGCATCTCACTATCAACAGCAACCTCATGCCTTGGCAGTCTCATGACATAATTTTAAAAAATAACACAATTTTCCAGTCCAAGAGGCTCATTATACTGCAGGTAAAATCAATAAAGAGACCCATAACTATACACTGCCTAGCAAAAATAAGTAAACTTTTTACAAACATGCAGGCAGAAAAAGGTTACTTATAAAGCAAAACAACTTGGGCTCAAATTTATAGTGTTTTGCAGGAAAAAGGTGACCCAAATATGCTACACGTGGCTAAGTTACCATGTTACTTATCTTAGTAAATACTCAGCATAATGCTGCCTCTGCTAATGAACAACATTAGAGATGGGACTTGTTAACCAGTGTTCTCTCTGTAAGGCTGCTTACTGGTAAGTGTCCGAGTTCATGACTCTATATAGTAGTGCTTGTCAGGGATCTGTGACTGGGGCTTGTATGAAGGAGACATTTTTGAGAATGATTAAGCCCACCGTTTGCAATAAGAACTGCATACAGTTTATGTCACATAGGTATATACAGCAGACTATAGTGCTTAATGCTTACAACACAAAAGACTGGATGGATAGCTGTCAGTTCCTCTTCCCCAGGGAAATGGCAGGTATCCTCAACCAATGGGGTAGGGCAGTCTTTCCCAAATGAGGATGTTAAATGGGGGGAGAGGCTTTCCATTAAAATTAAAAACAGTAACACTCAGTTAAACAAAATTTAATACAGTCATGCAGTGCATAATGACATTTCGGTCAACAATGGACCACATGTAAAATGGTGGTCCCATAAGATCAGTACCATGTAGCCTAGGTGTGTAGTAGGCTATGCCATCTAGGTCTGTGTAAGTACTACAGGGGAGGAAGAAATTTTCCTCTACCCTTCTAGGTTCTTCTGGCTGGTCTAAGAATTAAATTGACATGATACAGAATAACAGGAGAAAATTAAACAAAGTTTAATAACATGTATACATGAGAGAAACCCAGGAAAACTGAGTGACTCAGCCAGAACTGCCGAAGCCGCCACCTTAAATACCATCTTTACCTAAAGACAAAGGAGGATGTTGGGGGTGGGGGCAGTCAGTGACGGGAGATTACCAGAAAAACCCCAGTAAACAAGAATAACATTATTATGCAGATTTAAGTCCTTGTTTTCCGAATTGATAAGAGTTTCTAGAGATAAGGTCATCCCCCTCTTCCTGGTACAGAGAGGGAGACACCTTTACAAATGGAGAGTTCCCTTACAAATGTAAATGTCTCTGACAAAGGGTAACTTCCACTTGGTCTTCAGAGGTTCTCCCATGTCTGCAGTTTCTTAAAGGTATCCAATCCTAAATAATCCTCATGCCAAAGAGACACATTTTGAGGTGGCAAATTCTGCTCCCCTACATATACTGGGAAAAACTCAGGAAACCGAGTCACTCACCAAAAAGGCTAGAAGCCCTCACCTTCAATGCCATCCTCAGCTAAAGACAAAAGAAGATGTGGGGGTAGGGAGTGTCAGGAACTTCAAAGAGAAGAAAGGCAATTCACAGGTAGGTGAAAAGGAGCAAACGTTTGCAAAACAAGCATGTGTTTGGCCACACAGAAACAGAGAACACAAAGGGGAGCCCAACAAATAGGCCTTTCTGGGTTCCTGCCTGTCTACTACCTAGTTCATGTTATGCTAAGGTGATAATTCATTTCCTGAGACAGGTTTTTTTAATCTTAATTCTTTTAGGCAGTTAAGGGGAAGGTAACAAGAAAAAACTGTCTGAGTCTTTGTTTCTTAAAAATAATCAGCCTAAAATAATCCTCATGTTAAAGAGACACATTTTGGGGTGGCATATTTTGTTCCCCTTCAGTACACTCTATGATGTTCACACAATGACAAAATCACCTAACTACACATATCTCAGAACATATCCCCTTTGTTAAGCAAAACATGACTGTAGTGTCTCCACACAGTGAAGACTTCCCCAGAACTCTGAATATGCAAATGTGTAGATTCTCTTAGAGGAGGGCACGGCAGGCATGCCATGTTTCGCAAACTTATTTGATCATAACCCTACTTCCCTGGAACATTTCCTGGCTCTAGTGTTGTAGAAGTTCCAAGTTTGGGAAATCGTGGCAAAGAAAAGACTGTCTTTGGTCTGTTCAGAATGGATCAACTTTTACACATGCTTTGTTATTCTTATTCCACATCTGTTCTGTGCTCAGATGTCAGCTTTGCTAATACTGTGTGCAGAAAAGAGCTCACAGAGCAGGCCTGACTGCTAGCTATCCTTCAAAAGGCTTGCTCACAAGGCTGGCCCTTGGTAGGGAATTTGGATTTCAGGAGGGTTCCTACCATTCTCAGAACTGATAAGAGTGGCTCACTATGCCTGTTTCTACAAACAATGCTGAATATCTGCTTTCCTTCTGGGAGTCTGGAATTTTGGTACATGCCAGGCAGAGGCTGCCTACGTGACCAGCCCCCAGTAAAAACCTGGGGCAGAGTCTCTAACAAGCTCCCCTGGTCAGCAACATTTCACATGTGATGTCACAACTCATACTGGGGGAATTAAGTGTGTCATGTGTGACTCCACTGGGAGAGGACTCTGGAAGCTTGTGCCTGGTTTGCCCTATGTGTCTTTACCTTTTGCTGATTTTGCTCTGTATCCTTTAGCTGCAATAAATCTTAGCCATGAGTACAACTATATGCTGAGTCCTGCATCCTGAGTCCTAGCAAATCACTGAATCTGGGGACACTCTGGGGGACGCCCAACACCATGTGGAACAGCAGTGTAAGGGAGAGCGCTGGGCCCCAGGGAAGAGTGCCCTGAATCTGCAGAATCACTATCTGGGACAATATGTGTAACCATCTTCCAGCAGAGGCTCCTCCTATTTGGAGATCTAACTATAAGTGGTTCCATCAGGATACTTTTGGGGTAACCCCAATAAACAACCTTCATGTGACAGCTGCAAAGGACTTCACTTTTCAATCACTCCATGCCTAACGCTGCATGGCTTGTGCCAGGATTGAGCTTCTTCTGAAAGGTGTGCTGAGTTCCAAGAGCCAAAGACAGAAGTTTTGTCCTTTTTTTTTTCAAAGACACTTTCAGATATTCAAGAGCACAAAATATCCCACCCATGCAGTCTTATTAAAAAATTATTCAAGACTGAGGAAACTACAGCATAAAACTTTAATGTAATGAGTATTAAAATCCATTAACTAGGACTGGCCCCGTGGCATAGTGGTTAAGTTCGAGCACTCCACTTCAGCAGCCCGGGATTCACAGGTTTGGAACCCCAGGAGCAGACCTACACACCACTCATCAAGCCATGCTGCGGCAGCATCCCACATACAAAATAGAGGAGGACTGGCATAGATGTTAGCTCAGGGCCAATCTTCTTCAAACAAAAAGAGGAAGATTGGCAACAGACCTTAGCTGAGGGCCAATCTTCTTGACCAAAAAATAAAAATAAAATCAATTAACTAAAGTGTTATGATTTGCTTATAAAATGTAATCTTCCGAGTGCCAAAAATTGATCTTAAAAAGAAAAGTCTATAAAAAAGTAATATCTTGACAAAAATATGGGTCTAAAACTCCAAATTATATAAAAACTGGGAAGTGTGAGTGATAAATGAAATTCTTGTCTTACATAGGGGGAGGTTTGTGTAAGCTGGATTTCCTGTCTTACACAGAGGACAGCCAATAAAATAACATTTCATAATTAAAGAAATTTTGTCACTTTCTAGCTCAATGACTTGGGGTGAATTATTTTCCTCCGAACCTCAATTTTTGCCCCTGTAAAACTGGAATGGAGCCTTACTCGAATCTTTTTGTGCTCCCATTCTTCCGTCTCCTCACATAAGAGATGCTGACAGCATTTGCTGCACAAAATCCCTGTGTAGTTGCTGTTGGTCTGGTAAATGAGCTGTTTCTGTCCGTTGCTCTTCACAACTTGCAGTAAGTTATGGGCCGTCTCTTCAGGACCAAAGCACGACTGCCATCTGGCGGCAGGCAGTCTTAGCTACACGTACCATTCCGAATTAGTCTCTCCAGAGATGGCATGAATGAACTTCCCCCCACAAAGTGGGGGTAAATGTCAAAGGCCAACTGAGGCAGGACCGGGCATTGTGGCCAACATTCCTTTCATGGAAGGTTGTTAATAATGCCGACTAACGAAGTCAAAACCGCCACAGTCTTAGAATGACTCATTAGCGCTGCACCCCCTAAAAAAGGCTGACTTCCTGTGTTGGATGCTCCTAATCCCTCTGTTTTTCTCTTTCTGGGTTCAATACATCTTCGAGGATGGGATTTCAGCGCCTAAGGAGATCCTGCCGGCCAGACTTCCTCTTTCAACCTGAGGAAGCCAAGGCCCCAGGAAGTCCGGGTTCCCACGACCGCCGTCCTGACTCCCACTCGAACCCACCGCACGTGCCAGGTCTGAGTGTGAGACAAGAGTCCCCAGCGCAGCTCGCAGTCTCTTTCACTAGCAGACCGGCAGCTCCTTTCGGACACGGCTGGGCTTCCCCGTCCGCCGGCTCCCCCCGCCCACGGCGCGCCGGCCACCCGCGCCCCGCCAATCGGTCCGGCAGGGAGCGTCAGCCCGGCACCTTCACTCTCGCGCCCTGGTCGCGCCTCCGCGCCCACCACTCACGCTCAGCCAGCATCGACATGTCGCCGAGCCTGTGTCGCCGCGGGCCTCCGGAACTGAGGAACTGCGGCTCCCGGCTGAGAGCCGGCGGAGAAGCTAGAACCACCGGGCTCACACGCGGGGAGGACCGCAGTGGCGAGGGCGCGTGCTGGTGACGTCAGGGAGGCGCGACCCGCTCCTCGACCTCGTGGCGGGAGTGGGCGGGGCGCGGGCCGTCTTGGGGCGGGGCGGGGGAGATCAGTGACGTGAGTGAGCGCGAACCCCAAGCCCGGAGAGGTCGGAGGTTTAAAGGAGGTGGAGAGAGGACGGATTCGTGCGCTTGAACGAGTTCGTGCACTAAATGCTTGGACATACGTCAAGCCCTTAAGAGTGTCCGCCGCAGAGCCCACGCTCAATAAGGTTACCTGTATCACCGGCATCGTTAATTACTAAATGCCAAGCATAGTGCTTTCTGGAAATAAGACATGATCTGTGCCCTCAGGTGGCTCATAGTCTAACGAGGAAAAGAAATATGTAGCTTCGCTCCTGGCAGCCCAGGTTCGGCCGGGTGCGCACCGACGCACCGCTTGTCTGGCCATGCTGAGGCCGCGTCCCACATGGGACAACTAGAAGGACGTGCAACTATGATGTACAACTATCTACTGGGGCTTTGGGGAAGAAAAGGAGGATTGGCAATAGATGTTAGCTCAGAGCCGGTCTTCCTCAGCAAAAAAAGAGGAGGATTAGCAGGATGTTAGCTCAGGGCTGATCTCCCTCACAATAAAGAAAGAAAGAAAGAAATATGTAAACAACAGTCCTTACGGCCGTCAGCATACAAAAATGTTGCATAGAAGGAGTTTGAGCAACTTGGCTGGAGGGGAAGACTGCACTGTGGTGTCCTATTTTTCTTCACATCCTACCTCTGCTCTCTGAGACTGATAGACATGATAGATAGAAGAGAGAGAGAGAGAGAGATAGGATCCCAAGTTAAGCAGATAACTAAATCTGGGGAAAATGTTATCTCTCTTTAAATAACATGATGCCTTCAACAAGGCAAAGGTTTTGTTTGTTTTGTTTTGTTTTCCTCCATTACAACGTGCACTGTGGAACTTTACCTTTATCATATCCATCTCTGTTTCTATACCAACACCTAGCAAAATAATTTGAGTATGGTAGGGGCTGCAGAGGTGTTTGTGAAATTTAAGTAAAGTTCCTGTGTCTCTAAGGGAGTTCTGATAAGATTCTGGCAATGAGAATCTTAGGTAGACAATAAGGACGTTTTTGACAGGTGACTCTCTAGTGAACTTCAGGTGACGGCACAGACAGAAGCCTTCCTCTCCTAAGTGGAACAGAAAGACAGCCCCACTCAGGTGCCAAGAGAAGATATGTGAAGGACCAGATTCCTGTTCTAGATGAACTTGTCCTTTAACTAGGAGTCTAGACAAACAAGATAAACTTCTCTAGTTTCATAAAAATCAGAAAAAAGAAACACAAAAGAATAGTTGCTGCTATGAGTAAATACCCAGGAGCTGAGGCAGATGAGGAGATGCAAAGTGCAAAGTCAATGGAATTTTTACAGCCAAGGCAGGGAGCAGGTAAATTGTGACATGGGGAACAGGATTAAAATAGGGAGTTGGATTTGCACAAAATTAGGAAGGCAGGATCACCCAAGTCTTAGGATAATTAGCAGATGTGTTTGATTAGACCAGAGTAAATGGAAGGTAGTTATATAGAGTGAGAATAATGACTTGATCAGAAAGGAATTGTTTTTTAAGCACCGCATATGTTGGTATCTGATTTCAGGAAGATAATTTTGTCTCTAGGATGGTCAGAAAGATTGAGGCAGAAGTTTGCAGCACTGTTGCTGTGGTCCAGGTGATAGATGGTCAAAACTGAATTAAGCCTGTGAGTGTGGCAGTGAATGGCAAGGAATACTTGTGCCTTGTGATTTGGTGAGCTGCCTCTCTTGGAAATGTTGTCAGAGGCCACAAAAGAAGGTTGTAGAAGGGACTCTTCATTTGGGTGAATGCAGGATAGACTAATTGTTTCTAAGATTTGTTCCAACTCCAACATTCCATGTGTCTATGAAATATCTATGAGGATAATCTACTGAAAAAAAATATTGCTAAGTTTGGGACTTTTAAAAAATTGCAGAGTCGTATTTATGTTTTTAAATGGTCCGCTGGAAGTGGCTATTGTGCTTTTAAAAAGAAGATGTTTCAATATAAGACATTGTCTTATTCTTCAGTGTCTTGGCAGACCCTCTTAGAGCAGAGCTTCTCAAACTTTAATGTGTGTGTGAATCACCTGGGGATCTTGTTAAAATAAAGTTTCTGGTTCAGCAGCTCTGGGATGGAGCCAGAGATTCTGCATTTCTAACAAGCTTCCAAGGATGTGGATGCTGATGATCCATGGACCTTACTTTGTGTATCAGGCCATTAAACAACCACAGGTACGAATGAACTCAGGGTTAAAATATACTCTTTTTTCTTTCCTGCTCAAGAAAAGTGCTTTATGAAGAATGTCTTTAGGTGATATGACAGACTCTTTCGAAATACTTCAATGAACTAAATCTAGAAGGTACTTGGATAAGTCATCTGCGCTATTTCCCTGCCTTCAGGCAAGTGAAGACTAATCTCAGGGACAGATGGTTGCTACTTCTTTTCTATAGCTCTGGTGAATGTCAATCTCAATCTCTCTCTCTCCACACACACACACACACGCGCGCGCGCACGCACACGCACATAACACATGATTGTAAAAGCTAGTTACACATTCTGTGCAATCACAAAAAGGAATCCTCGTATGTTGTGTTAAATCTGTATATTATTTTTCAGATATATCACTAAAATTTTATCTATAAAAGAAATATAGCTGAATCTTAAATTTACCTCATTGCTAAGAGACAGCAGTCTGTTACAATGCAGGAGGATTGGGGGCGGGGGACTAGCACTAGAATTAGAATGGCATTCAGAAAACATGACAGAGCCTAAATTCTGATACTGACTTCGAGTGTGACCTTGGGCAAGTCATTTCACCTCTTTTGATATCAGTGTGCCACTCTATGAAAAAATGATGATTTCTGAGATTATTTCCAGGTCTGAAAGACTTTCAGAGGATTACTTTAATCAGAAAAGCATAGGGCCGGCCCTGTGGCTTAGCGGTTAAGTGCGCACGCTCCGCTGCTGGCAGCCTGGGTTCGGATCCCTGGCGTGCACCGACGTACCGCTTCTCCGGCCACGCTGAGGCCGTGTCCCACATACCTCAACTAGAAGGATGTGCAGCTATGACATACAACTATCTACTGGGGCTTTGGGGGGAAAAAAATAAATAAATAAAATCTTTAAAAAAAAAAAAAGAAAAGCATAACTCAGTGACATGAGAATTAAAGAGAGTATAATAGCATAATAGTTAAGGGCTTGGATTCTGAAGCCAGACTTCCTGGGTTCAAGTCTTAGCTCTGTCACTTACTAGCTTTGGTAACCTGCTGTGTACTTGAGCAGATTAGTTCACCTCTTTATGCTGCTGTTCTTAATTTGTAAAATACAAAAAATAGTGCCTACTCTGTAGAGTTGTTAAGGGGAATGATTAGATGATACATGTTAAGTGCTTTGAAAGCACTCAATGGCTATTATAATTTTAAAGGAAATGGAGGTTAGGATGAGTATTTCAACAAATATTTATTGTTTCAGGCCATGTCCTAGGTGCTACAGTTACAAAGTGAGCAGAAGGATTCATGACCCCTACCCACACTGAGTTTGCAGAGAAGACTGACATTAATCAAATAAATACATACATAAATGTAAAATTATAGCTGTGATAAGTGCTATGAAGGAGAGATACATGAGGCTAGGACAGAATATAAGGAGAGATCTGATTTAGTTAGGAAAATCAGAGAAAGCTTCCATGAAGAAGTGATAAGTAAACTAAAACATGGCCTACTCAAGGAATTGACGTGGCTAGAGTGCAGAGCCAGGGGGAAGCATGGAGCTCTACAAGGCCACAAAGTTCAGTAGGCGGCCAGTTCTTATAAGGCCTTGTGGATCATGATAAGGATTTGGGTCTTTGTTTCAAGAGCTACGGGAAGCCATTGAAGAATTTTAAGTTGGGGAGTAACACACATTATAGTTTCTAGAAGCTCCCTATGGCTGCTCTGTGGAAAACAGATGGAAGGGGGAAAGGTGTATATGGGAGATCAATTAGCAGGCAATTTTAGTTAAGGTGAAAGATGAAGGTGGTTGTGAAAGTGAAGATTAGTCATTGGATTCAAAGTTAATTTAAAGGTAAAATCAATAGGAATTGATGATAACCTGTATATCAGGAATTGAAAGAGAAGAAGTTGTCAGGAATAATTTCAAGACTTCTATAACTGAAGTAGTGGCAATTTGAGGTAAGGAGTAAAACAAATTCAGTTTTGGACATGTTGAGATTGAGGTACCCTTGAGTTTAGGCATCATCGGTTGGACATAGGCATCTAGAGCTCAGAGGATAGGTTGGGGCTAGAGATAAAAATTAGGAATCATGTAAATGTATATGTTAATTGAGGCCATGGCAGTGATGTGTGCACCCAGAAAGAGAGTAGAGTGAGAACAGAAAAAGGCCAAGCCTTGAGGAAGTCTAGCATTTAATAGCTGGTAGAGAAGAATAAGGCTCCTAAGGAGAGATAGAAGGACCTGCCTCAGAGATAAGAGGAAAAGAAGGAGGAAAAAGTTTAAAGACTGAGGAAGTGGTCAACAATGTGGAAAACAGCTAGAGATCAAGTAGTGTGAGCACTGATGTATTCCCTGTAGCACTAAACCGATTTCATTGCTTCTGAGAGTCTCCTTTGGAGACCAGAAGGTTTAAAAAAAGTGGGGGGGAAGGAAGGGAGAATTTAGGATCCTGCAAGACAAAAGAGAACCAAAAAAATCAAGGGACACACATCTGTTCTCTCAGCTTCCCCCTCCACACATACCTGAAAAAGAACTACCTTTGAAAGGGCACTTTGCTACACTGAAAGCAGGGAGCACTCTTGGACTAGGAGTCTTGAAAACTACCCCAGCCAACAGCCTGTCTGCAAAATTAATAAACAAAAGCAGTCTTCAGCTATACAAGGCTACTGTAAGAAGAAAA